CCCCAAAACCCCAAAACCCCAAAACCCCATAAATTTGAATTAAGTATTAAAATTAATAAACTATTAAAAACATTAATTTATATATATCTAAAATAATTATAAAAACTTTATTCAATAAATGAGGCATTTAGTGTTTTTGATAAGCTTACTCTACATGCTATAAATTACAAATGGAGATCAAAAATGCTTTGATTGGAAGTTTCCTAGAGGCTTCGGTGATAGTACTGGGAGTAATTTTTTATTTTCCATGGATATGGATGCGAGCTTCAACATCATTACTGGAGGTGAAACAAGAATTACCACTCATGGTTTGAGCATTGCATTAGGATATTACGCATTTTTTCAATATGTTAGCAGTAATGGCTAAAATGATTGGGTCAAAGTCTATAATTAAGTTGCATTTTCCTAGGTGAATAATATAGCATTAAATTAAGGAATCTCAAAAGCAACAAGAGCAATCGCTTTGGTAAAGAATCCGACAACATAGATTATGCATTTCTTGTTTATAAATACAGCCGATGGGACTCTTTTGAATTCGTTATAAGATGATACTGTCGCAAACTCCTATTATTGGACTGATTCATATGTGAACTCTGTACTCTTAGACTCTACTGTAAATGCTTATCTCGGATTATATTCTACTTATGGTTGAACAATGCTTGCTAAAGTAGATTTTAGTTCATCAGCTTCACCAAACGTACCTAAATGGAAATATGATCATAAAGGAGCTGTTACATTTGCTGATTCCGGGTAAGTAGGGTCATTATATTTAGATTCGACTGGAACCTTTCTTTACTCAGCAGTAAGATATTTTGCTAATAAAACAACAAGATTAGAGTATTTTCCTACCATCTAAAAGATGAATGCCTCGACTGGAATTCTACAATATGCATATTCTCTAAACATTACCAGAACACAAACTATAGATGCAACAGTAGTTAGAACTTTTGCTGTATCTATAATAAATAATAAAGATTATGTTTTAGGCTGTTAGCCACTTTTCTACAAAAAAGTGACTCCTAATGAAATAAAGTTGAATTTTTTCTTAATGATAATTAATTCAGATAAAACTATTGCCTCTTAGGATTTTTACTAAATTCAAGCTGACCTGAAATGTTCTGATACAAGAATCTTATCAAATAATTCTTACTTTGTATTGGTGATAGATGTCACGTTATAAAAAAATTATCTCTACAGATTATATGATTTAACAAGTACAGGAGGTTCAATGACCTAGTAGGAGTTTTATTACAAAACTAATTACAGAATCAATGATGCTCTTATTGCCTCAGATTTTACTGTATATTATTGTGGCTCTATTCTTTATTCTGCTCTTAGTAGTGCAAAGTACTACAGTTTTATAATGCCATAGGACATAACTTAATCATGCGCTTCGAATAATTTGTAGCCAATCTTCACTTAAAGCACTCTGATTACAACATCTGAGTTCAAATTTTAGAATCTTGGAGTTGTACTTCAATCTACAACTAACATTATCTTGAAGAAAAATTCTACTTTATAATTGCTAAGCTAAAATATATCCCTTTATAGCACAAATTACACAAATTTCTGTGATCCAATACCAAAGCTATAAACATATAATAACTAAACTTCTATTTCAGAAAAATATCCAATTCAAGGAAATTCCTATGCAAAAAATATATCCTAATCATTCTTCTTCGGAGATGAATCTTGCAAAGATAAATCTCGTAAACTTTCTGTTAACTCTAGATAACAGACTAACTTACCTTTTTTATTTGATGGGAAAGATCAATTAACAATTTCTTAATCTTTATTCATTGAAACTTAGTCAACTTATGAACTTACTTGCACCTATCCTTCAGGATAAGCAGCCTCAATGAATTTATCAATTGAATTTGTAGATTGCACAGTTTAGGTTAACTTAGATCAGTTTTCAAATGTATATTACAATATTGGAGATAATGTTCGAACGTTGAATTTGAGTTCGTACGATTTAGACCCTGCTTGCCCTATAGTTTAAGAAATTGTGATGAATATTTCTCCTCCTCCTGCCAAAGAAACAACATTTTTACAAACATTAGATAACACTTTAAAGATATTTGAAACTGATACTGATGCTAAAGGAGTGTACTAGATTGATCTCGCTTACATCAGTTCTTATTAAGGCTATCAATACTAAACAGATTTTTCTTTCTTCGTAAATATAATATGCCCATTAAAATCTTTCACTCATACCTTCAATGGATAACTTGAATATAACTATACAGTGGGTAGCGGGAAAGTAGTAATAGATCTTAGTTCGCTATAATATATCAATAATTGCAATTTCAATACTAGATTGGAATTAGAAGTCCTTGATTTTAATACCTTTCCCACATTCTTTAGCTATAATCAAGATACTAAATAATTTACAATTGATTCAGCAAGTGATGCTAATGTGAATAGTTACAGAATAATTGTAAAAGCAATACTTGACGATTATGATCATACTATTGATTTCAGTTTCTAATTCAAGGTTAACATATAAACTGCTATAATTCTAACTTAGACTACAACATCAACAACTACATCATCACCAACTACATCATCAGCAACTACATCATCACCAACTACAACATCACCAACTACATCATCATCGACAACTACATCATAAACAACTACATCATCAACATCTACATCATCTCCAACTACATCATCAACAACTACATCATCAACAACTACATCATCAACAACTACAACATCAACCACTTCAACAACTAAGGCTACTACAACTAGTACTACTACTACATAAGGCAGCACAACTATAACAGCAATCCCATCAACAACTCAAAAACCAACTACAACTACTTCAACCACCACGAAGTCTTCAATAATTACAACTTCCTAGACAACAACTGCCAAGCCAATAACAACTGAAATTTCATAAAACACAACTATCAAATAGAATTCAAAACCAATATTTAAGTATTCACTAAGAGATATTGTAGTATAAGTTAATAAATAAGCAATCTATTAGCTACCTGAAGTATTAGACGAAGAAAATAATAAGGTCAAAATCTCTCTAGTTCATGATTTAGAGTCAAGTTCAATCTATCTGCTACACAATCAAATATTAGTTAATCCAATTATTAAAGAAAAAGGTGAGCATAAAATTTAGATCACTCTTAGAGATGATGGATAGCCTTCTTTGGCAAATCAATATACAATAAAATTGACTGTAACAGATCCAATATCCATAATTATAAGCTAACCAACAGAGTATAAGCCTTCAGCCTAACTATAAACAACTGCTAGTTAATTCTAATCTAGAATAACAGAGATAAACTAAGTAGGGGAAGTTACAATAAATGTTAATATGAATTTAACTTATGTCAGTCAATCAAATTCTTTCTCAGAAATAATTATAATTGCATATCTAATTCAAGAATAGACTACAGTATTACAGAATTTTAAAATAATAAAATATGAAGACAATCAGATAAAAGTGAAAATTAATTTTGAAGAACCTTTATTGATATCCTAAGATTATTAGGTATATTATTTAAGTTTAACTAGATTTAGAGCATTGATTATTTGTATATCAAAATATATTTGAAAGATATAAAAAAAGACAAAATAATTGATATTTAGAATTATGGCGGAACTTCTCAACTGCTTCAATCTATTCCTAAATAAATATCTTAAGGTAAAATGGTTCATTATTAAACTATAATTTAGACGATTTGAATATGAATTAGCAATTATCAGCAGTAACAACTAATCTGGTCTCTGTTTCTCTATATTTATCTATGATGACAGCAGCTTTTAAGTAATTTAAAGAAGTTTAAATTCATACAGTGTCAATGGGGGAACATAAATGTGGTCCTTGATAAATTATCTCTAACAAGTTTATAATCTGGCATTATTCAAAATTGGTATTCCTGGAAATTCAGAAAATTACCTTCAAAGCTTGAAAGACTTTAATAGTTTGAACTTTTTCTAATTAGACTTAAATTTAAGGCAAGAAGACTAAAATACAACAATAAAAGGAAGATAACTATAAATTTCTAATGAGTTCATCCCAGACTAATTTAAAAATCTTGGGTTTATGAGTACTTAATTCTTAGCAAACTTGTCATATTCATTGATATTTATTGCTTTTGGAATAATTATGATAGTTTTAGATAAATTGCTTTTTGCTTTTCTTGGATTTATATGTAAAATTAAGTAGTCGAAGTTAGAAAATATAACTAATAGCAAGTTAATGAGATTTTATTTGAAATTTTAAAAGCTTCTGTATTACAGTTGGTTTAGTAGAGTCATTATTGAATCATATCTTATAGCTAGTGTATTTTGTTTTTATACCTTAAAAACAGGCACTTAAAGCTAACAATCAAATGAGTTGGGTGTTTCTATTGCTTACTTTGCTCTCTTGACACTAACATTCATTCCTGTTGTTATTTGCTACATAGTTATGAGATAAGTATATAATAAATAGATTACAAGATTGTTGCTGAAATATAAAAACCTTTAAAAAATAGATAATTTTTTTGCAAGACTTAACAAAGTATTAAAAGTGGATAAATAATTTGGATCTTACATTTTATTCTTTTTCTTACGAAGATTCATTCTGGGATTATCAATTACTCATTTTGATTTCATTCCTTAGATATTCTGTCAGCAGTATTTGTCGCTTATGATGATTTACATAATTTTATTAATGAAACCTTTTTGGGAGACTTATATTAATTATATTGAAATTTTAAACGAATTTTCATTCTTGATAATATAGTACATTTGCTTATGTTATGCTTTTTATATTCCTGATGCCTAGATTAAAGTAGTACTTGCAAGAACTCAAATATTTTTGATTTTATTGACAATTGCACTTAACTTGCTCTATTTTTATTACAGAATCACCAATTTTCTGATTAAAACATTGAAATTTAATTTGCGAAATCAAATTACTCATAAGATGATGCCTTTAAATTAAACTGACACTAATAATATGTCCACGAGCGCAGATTAGACTAATCTAGGGAAAATTGCTAAGATTCTCTCTATTGATATTTCAGCCAAACCTCATGTTCAATTAGTAAAAAAGAAACCATAGATAAAAATAACTTAGGAAAATCTCACAGATGATGAAAATGAAAATTAAGTGGAAAGCAAAATATTCAAGAAATTGGCAGATAACAATGTGAAAGGACATTATTTTGAAAGCAGTAATCTTAATTTCCTATTTTAAAAAGAGGAAACTAAAGGGGATGACATAGAAATAGAGAATAATAATGATTGGCAAATTCTTGATTAGGATAAATAAGGTATTCAAATGACGCTTGAATAAACATAGGAGTTATTTGACACTAAAAAATAAAATTACATAATAGAAAGTGATTGCTAGATAGAGGAGTTAAAATACGAAATTGACTAAGATGATTAATCATTTTAGATTAGTGATGAAAATAGCTTTAGTGAAACAAATATAATGAAAAGTATAAAGAAGAGTCGATATTTACCAGATATCTACGAAAAAATAAGGTAAACCTAAGAACTTATAAGCAATATATATTTATAAGAAACTGATGAAACTTAGTTTAATGATCAAGTTATATAGACCTATAATACGTAAAAAGAATAAATAATGAATAATGATTTTATTGAAGACTTATTAGACAATTTGGAAAAAGATAATGAATTGAAACGTAGTTAGTTAATTCAGGGAATAAATCCTTAAGAAATTTTATAAAGATCGGAATAAAATAAGTGATTTTAATTATGAAAATAATAATCTTGTTGTTTTTTTTAATAATTTGGCAAATTTCAACATATTTAACATTATGGGGTTTTGGGGTTTTGGGGTTTTGGGGTTTTGGTTGTTGTGATAA